GAGTTGGGTGAGCATGGAAGGTCTCTTTATCCTGGGCTCTTTTCCCCCTCTATTCAGAACTTGCATTTGGAGTCACTATCAGAAAAATAAATGCTTTTCTTTTCTTTTTTTTTCCTGTAGGGAGCTGCATCAAATTTTCAAGGACTATTGGTCGATACAAATATTCTGCACTGAAATGGTGCTTTTAGCCTCAGTCTCAAAACAATTGGTAAACAGTTTTTGTGTTCCTGGTAAAGTGCATAAAACATACAGGAAATATTGTGCTGGACAGAGGACTGGATCTGGCATCGGGTGACCTGGATGTAAACCCTGCCTCTGCTGAGGACTATTTGTTTGATCATGGGCAAGTCACTTAACTTCCCTGGGTCTCAGTTTCCACATCTGTAAAATGAGAGAGTTGCACTGGATGCTCTCTACAATGTTTTCTAACACTTAATGACAGGCAGATAGACAGACAGATACATACATAGATACGTGGATGGATGGGTGGATGGATGAATAGATAAACAGAAAGATAGATAGACATACAGATATATAGCCAGACTGATTAACAAACAGTCAGTCAATAAGCATTTATTAAATGCCTCTAATGTGCCAGGCACTGTGCCAAGCACTAGGGACATAAAAGAGGCAAAAGTTAGTCCTTTCCTTCAAGGAGCTTACAATCTAATGGGGGAGACAGTATGCCAACAACTACGTACAAACACGTTATATATAGTACAAATTGAGAATAATTAAAAGAAGGTAGGCCCTAGGATCAAGAAGAGTTAGGAAAGACTTCTTGCAGAAGGTGAGATTTTATCTGGGATGTGAAAGAAGCAAAGGAAGCCAGAAAGGGGAGATAAAGAGGGAGAATATTCCAGTGAAAGAGAAAATTCCTGGAAGCAAGATGAAGAAACAGTGTCACTGCTCAAATGTCTTGTTCAAGAAACAGTGTTGCTGCATTGAAAAAGATTAGGGTTCCCTAATCTATCCATATGTGTATTCATCCAGACAGATAGATAGGAAGAAAGAAGATTGATAGACAGATAGATAGACAGACAGATGTAGATAGGAAGATTGATAAACAGACAGCCAGATTGATAGACAAACAGAGAGAGAGAGAGAGAGAGAGAGAGAGAGAGAGAGAGAGAGATCAGATAGATAGATGAATAGATAGGAAGGACAGATAGATTGATAGACAATAGATAGATAGATAAATAGAAATAGTGATAGAGATAGAGATAGACACAAGACATATATATATATTATCTATCTATCTATCTATCTATCTATCTATCTATCTATCTAATATCTATAACAGGGTTAAAGTTTTGCCTTTCTTTACCTGCCCTCAAGGAACTTACATTCTAGTGGGGAAGACCACGGGCAAAGAACCAGGTACATTACAAAACATGTACAGTATAAACGGAAGGTCATCTAAGAGGAAAAGAACTAGGTGGTAGGTATGGAAAGAAGGGGGAGAAAAGCCCCTACATCAGGAAGGTGGGGTTTGAGCTGAGTCTTGAGTGAAGTCACAAAGAAGGCATTCAGTCCATTTGACAAAGAAACAGAGAAGTGACGTAACGTGACCCAAGTCACCCAGACAAGAAGTAGCAGAAGCAGGCTGTGAAACCACCCCCTGTGCCCCCAAAGTCAGACCTCTTTATACGAAGCCACTCTTGCTTTCCTACAATGGAGAGGGTACCGGACTTGGTACTTGGAAGACCTGAACTTGAATCTTGCCTTAGATGTTATGCGTGGGATCCCAATTTAATCTCTCTTACCCTCAGTTTCTCCATTTGTAAAGTGGAGACAGTAACAGCACTCATACTTCACAGGGTTGTTGTGGGCATTAAATTAGATCACATTGGGCAAAAGCCAGAACCAGAGTGTCCCAAAAGTCTTAGTGCAGTTTTGAATTAGAAAGCTTTAAAATGCACTGACTTTGGGGACAGCCTGCATAAAGGTTACCTGTCAGCATTGTCAGCTCTTGTTGTTACAGAGATTGACAAATACCCATTCTATTTTCCCTGTCAGCTTTCACAAAACACTTAGTTTTGAACCTCTAAATACTTAATAATAATAGCTAGCATTTACATAGCACTTTAAGGTTTACAAAGCACTTGTATTATCATGTAATTGTGGGTAGTATCTTCCTACTAGACTCTAAGTTCTGTGATGGTAGGAATTATATCTTGTCTAAACATTTCATCTCTCCTCCAACCTCCTCCACCTTCCACAACACTCTGTATATAGTAGATGCTTCATAAATGTTTGCATGATAATACTAATAATAACCAATATGTTTGAGTGCTTTTTATTGTTTAGTCTTCTTTCAATCATGTCTGACTCTTCATGACCCCATTGGGGTTTTCTTGGCAAAGATGCTAGAGTGGCTTGCCATGTCCTTCTCTGGCTCATTTACAGCTGAAGAAGCTGAGATAAACAGAGTAAAGTGATTTGTCTAGGGTCACATAGTTAGAAAGTATCTGAGCCTGGATTTGAACTCAGGAAGATGAGTCTTCCTGATTCCAGGCCCAGCACTCTATCCACTGTGCCACCTAGCTGCTTTAAGGCTTGCAAGATACTTCATGATATTATCTCATTTTATCCTCATAACAACTCTGTGAAGTATATGCTATTATTATTCTCATTGATGAGGAAACTGAGGCAGATAGGTAAAGTGACTTGCCCAGAATCACATGTCTGAGGTAGGAATTGAACTCAGGTCTTTCTGATTTCAGCCCCACCTGTCTAAGTTTTCCCTTCCTGGAGGTATTCAAGCAGGAATGAGATGACTTCTTTCTCAGGTACATCATTAAAAAGGTCTTTATTCAGGTGGGAGTTGGACTAAATGGTCCTGAGGCCCCTTACAATTTTGAGATTCTGTGATTCTTTCTATAATAATATGTATTATATAACATGCATTATATATATATATATATATATATAAAATGCCTATAATATAACATATATATTATACATGTATAATATCATACGTATTATATAACATGCATTATATATATGTAATGCCTATAATATAACATATATATTATACATGTATAATATCATACATATTATATATCTGTAATATATAATATATAATAATTCAAGCTAGCTTTGGATCTCCAGGGTCCTGCATATAGTAAGCACGTAATAGGACAGAGAACAGAGTGTGAAGTTAAGGACCTGGTTTCTAATCCCAGTTCTTCCATTTACTACCTGTAACCTTGGACAAATCAATTACCCTCTTTGAAATTCATTCTCCTCTCTTGTAAAAAAGTGGTTTTGGACAAGGTTGGCTCTACGATTTTATGTCTGAATGAAATAAATAAAATGCTTGTTGAATTGAATTGGTGAAGGCTGTGGCATCCCACATTAGAATATGTTTCTAATGCTCAGGCATGATACCATAGACTGCATGCTGCTGGAGGCCAGACCTGTGTCTTATTCACCCTTGGGTCTCCCCAGTGAGTAGTGTCTGATACAGCACATTTCACATAGTAGGACAACAAAAGCTTGTTGTTGAATAAAGACCTCCCAAAAGGAGTGCTGGTGCTTACTATTGTTCTTTCAGACTGGATTGGGGACATTGATCTACCATTAGCAGAGCATTATTCTGAGTTGGAGTAAGGATGAGCTGCCCTGATCCATCTTCATTCTTGTGTCTCCTCTCCCTTGTGACAAAAAGCCTGCAGTCTGAGACAGCTGTCTGGGATTGGAGGTCCTGCCCTTAGAGCTAGGCTGAGCCATATAAGGTTCAGAACCGCGTTGGCCTCGTTAGGGCCAAGTTCTAATGATCTAACCAGCTTTGGAAAAAAAGGAAAAATTCCTGATGACTGTGTTGGCTAGGAACCCATCTCGGATCAACAGCGTAGAGGGCAGTCTATGCCCACCTCTCTACACCAAAATAGAAATAATAATAAATATTATCGGACAGGTCTAGGAATTAGACCAAAGTACCTAAATTCCAACCCCCACTGAACAGTGTTCCAAACTCTCAGCCTTGAAGTTTTGAATATAAATTTCCTTCTTCCAAGCTATTCACTGCATGCCTGAAAATTAGCTCTCTCTGGGCAGTAAGGACCCCAAAGTGAGTGATGGTGAACTGTTCTCTCCACTGGAGCAGGGGGCTGAATTTTAGCTCATTTTAATCCCCCAATGAAAAAATATTTGCAGTCAAAAGCACAAAATAAACATGCTTATTTAGCTCCTTGTATAATACTGACTAAGAAAACACAGTCTATTTGGAGATTACCAGCAACATGTAACATTTCCTAATGCCAAAGTAAATTCAGCACAGCAAATTCAAGAATGCGGGTGTCAATTACACAGTCCAAAACCTCAGCCTGAAAGGCAGCCTCCAGTGATATATCTGAGGATTGACAGATGAAAGTTCTTTTTTTACTCTCTTTCTTCCTTCCTTCCCTACTTCCTTCCTTTCTTCCTTCCCCCTCTACTTCTTTTCTTTTTTCTCCTTCCTTCCTTTCTTCCTCTCTTTCTCTTTTTCCCATCCTCTTTTCCTTCCTTCCTTCCCTCTATCCCTTTCTTTTTTCTTCCTTCCTTCCTTTTTTCTCTTTTTCTCCTTTCCTTTTTCCTTTCCTTCCTTTCTTAATCTTTCTTTCCCCCCTTTTCTCTCTTCCTTCCATCCTTCTTTCCCTCTCTCTCTCTCCTTTCTTTTTTCTTTCTTTTTCCTTCATTCCTTTCTTTCCTCCTTTGTTTATTTCCCCCCTCTTTTGCTCTTCCTTTCTTCCTCCCTTCTCCCTTCTCTTCCACCTCTTTCTTTCATTCCTTCCTTCCCTCTTTACTTCCCACTTTCTTTTTTTCCCTCCTTCCCTCCCTCCTTTCTTTTTTTCTTTTGGCTTGAACTCTATTTTAAGAACTGGAGCTCTCTTCCTAAACACTTCAATGTCCCTGTCAGCTCAGACACTGGCTGTTCAGGCTTCCTTTCCCATCTATGGTGATGCGATAGTGTGGGAATGGGAGGAGAGATAATGGACTGCACCAGCAGGACCTACCCCAACCAATGACGTAGTAGTAGAGATGCTTGCTCTCCTCTGAGCCGAACACCTTGATCACCATGCTGTAAAGATGCAAGCCTTCCACCAGCATCCAGGCGAAGGCACTCAGGAAGAAGAAGTGTAGCAGCACTGCTAAGACCTTGCAAGGAATCTATGGCCAAAGCAAAGAAAGACAAGATTGGAGGCTTCTCTGGATTTTACACTAATTCGGAGGTTATGAAACAGGGGAATATGTGGATAGAATTCAGTGTGTCCATGAACTTGGGTGGGGGAAAAACAATTATATCTTTACTTTCACTAACCTTCAGGGATCCTTTGCAATTCTACACATTTAATTTTAAGCATTTAGAGACATCATTCTGAGAAGGAGTCCCTGGGCTTCACCAGACTGCCAAAAAGGTACAGGATACAAATAATAATTAAGAACCCTTGATCTAAACAAAGGTACTGGAACAAAATGGTTAAAAGACGAGCAAAAAAGCACCAGTTAAATGATGTGTTGGGAGAAGCAGCATGGGAAACTGGAAATACCTCTGACTCTGGAGCTTGAGGATCTGGGTTCAAATCATACCATCTGTATGACTCTGGGTTAAGTCACAACCTCCCTAGACCTCAGATGCTTCATCTGCACAATGAAGGAGTTAAACTAGATGTGTTCTAAGGAACCTTCTACCTCTATGTCTATAACCTTTCACTGCAGCTTTACCCCCAGTAAGGCATGACTTCCGTTCATTAGGAAAGCCAGGTGCTATAATGGATCAGTGCCTGGATTTGGAGTCAAGAAAATGTGAGTTCAAATCTTGACTCACGTTTACTCAATGTGTGACCCATAGCAAATCATCTAACCTCTCTCAGCCTCAGTTTCCCTATGTGTAACATGAGTGTAATAATGGTACCTACATCACAAGGTTGTTATGAAGATCAAATGATGATACATGTAACGTGTTTTGCAGATCTTCAAGTTGTATACAAATCCTGGCTATAGCGATCAGGCAAGATGTGGGGATGCTACTTATTGTATAAGTGTGTGCTCCAACTGCAAGAAGTTTATAGAATCAAAGCTCTAGACCTAGGAGAGATCACAGAGGCCATCAAATCCAAGCCCTTCATTTTGCAGATGAGGAAACTGAGGCACAGAGAAGTTAAGTAATTTGTCCATGGTCAAGGACCTAGAAGACACCTCAAAGACCATCTGGTCTAATCCTCCCTTTTAAAATTATGTAACATAGATCAGAAAGTTTGCATACCTTAAAGGGCTATATAAATGCTAGCTACAATTAGGTCTTGATTAGTACCAATAACAAAACCCCTGAATGGCTGCACATCTTCAAATTTGTATTATTTGAAATAAGAATTATGTAAAATATGGTAATTGATTCCAGTTCAATGAAAATATGAAGTGCAAATTCAAATAATGGGACCACTTCAGGGAACTCATTATTGAGACCTGGTTGTATTTTATTAAGAAACTGAGGCTCAGGGAGACTAAAATCAAAGTCTTTTTCTTTTATGCCATACCAGTAGTATCAGAGGAAGAATTTGAACCAAGGTCTGTTGACCCCAGAGTTAGGGTATTAATTATTCTATTTTACCACGTTGCTCCCAATAAGTGGCCAAGTTGCTATTCAAACACAGGTCCCCTGACTCCAAATGCAGCACTTTTCTTCACAAGAGCCTAGCATTCCTCTTCCATTCTCTAACCACTTAGCAATGGGCTAAGTGGTTAGAGTCCTGCTCTGACTCAAGGCCAGTCTCCGCCTGCACCCTCAGACTCATTTGAGGTGCTTTCAGAATGAATCATCTCCTAAGACCTTTCCTCAACAATTGTGCACTGAAAACACACCCCCACAGCCATGTCTAAAGCTACCAGATGGAGTAGAACTGAGCTCATACTAAAGAAAGACAATTGGAACAATTAGCTTCAATAAGCCATGGCAACATTCTTTCTACAAAATGACATGCCCGTGCCTTGCCCTTAGGCTCTTTACAAGAGCTTTGCACTCCAAGGCAACCCAAACGTTAAATTTTTAATCCAATTCAATTCGACTTTCCTTGGCAAACACTTCTTAAGTGACTACAATGTGAACAGTACTGTCTTGGGTTGGGCATACAAGGATAGGATAGGCGTAATATAAAGAATGAAAGAATGTTAACATGATCTTAAATTACACTAAGAGAAGAATAATCAAAACAAAGGAAGTGGTACTCCCAATACCACTCCTGCCTTGATTACTCCTACATCACATTTTGAATACTTAATGCAGTGTGGCATAATGTATTTTAAGAAAGTCAAGGACAATCTGGACAGCAGGTCTTATGTAAGGTGATCGGGGAGGTGAGAAGAGAGTTCTCCCACGCAAGCAGCAGTTAAATGAATTAACATTGGTTTTACTATAGGCAGCTAAGTTGCACAGTGGATAGAGTGGCAAGCCTGGAGTCAAGAAGACTCATCTTCATGAGTTCAAATCCAGCCTTAGACACTTGCTACCTGTGTGACCCTGGGCAAGTCATTTAACTCTGTTTGCCTCAGTTTCCTCATCTGTAAAGTGAGCTAGAGAAGAAGATGACAAACCACTACAATATCTCTGCCAAGAAGACCCCACAAGGGCTCATAAGAAGTTGGACATGACTGAAAACGAATGACCAAACATATAGACATACATGTATGCCTTCAGAAGAGAAGTTATAAGAGGATATGGAATCAGTCTTCAAGGATCTGATGGGCGATCATCTGGAAGATGCTTTGGACTTGTTTTCCCGATCCCAGAGGACAAAATAAGAAACAATGGGTGGAAGCTGAGAGGGAAAAGAGGTAAATTTAAGCTTGGAGTAAGGATAGACTTCCTAAAAGTCAGAGCTATCCAAAAGTAGAATAGGCTGCCTGGAGGTAGTAAATTTTCCTTTATTAAAAAGTTTTCAAGCCAAGGCCAGATGACTATTAGTGTTGAAAAAGAGGTTTTCATTCAGATGTGGTTGGACTAGGTGGTCTCTGAGGTCCTGCTGACATCTGATATCTTGCGAGTTTGTGAATTTTTCCATTTAGATGGAAGTCTCATGGATAGAGTCCATGACAAGCCTGATCAGTTTCAGCTTCCCAGGATTTTAGCTCCTTGTCTAGCAGCTTCAGAGGACTCTTGACCAAGCACTCTTCAAATCTTTAAATGCTGTATACTTTATACATTAAATGCTATATTATCAATACTATTATCATTTCCATTACTATTTTTACAACCCTTACTGATATCCAAACCCTCATTAAAGGGTTTGTAAATCTAGAAGGTCCCTTGACCTTGGTTTTCTTGGTTCAAAGATGTAGTGCCTGATCCCTAATAATGTTTTTTTATTCCTTCTAACACTCTTGCCTTATCTAGGTTATTCTCTTCAACACTCATCACACCTTTCTCTTCTTGCCCCTACCCCAACACACTCTAAGTCATAAGGGTACCTCATCTAGGTTCTGTTTACAGGGGAAAGGAACAATAAACTGAAGTGTAAAGATTAAGATGGTGGCTCATCAAAGATGTGTATTCAGTAAGGATACATCAAGCAACCTCTATATACCAGGCACTGTGTTAAAAGAGGACAAAAATGAAACAGTGACTGCCCTCAAGAAGCTTACTTTCTATTTGTGAGGACAGGGTGTGATTGACAACAGATTCACAATCAATAACCAACCAACAAGTACTTATTAAGTATCTACTATCAGGCATTGAGGCTGCAGGAACAACAACAACAAAAGGGAGCATTGCCTGCCCTCAAGGAGTTTACATTTTACTGAAGCAGATAACACATGCATAACTAAGCACATATAAAATGAAAATACAAATCCAAGCTAATTGGGGGAGGAGGACATGAGGAGCTGAGGAGAGATCATGGAAAAGGTGACTCGAGTTGAGCCTTTGAGAAGGCTGGAGATTCTAAGAGGGAGGGAAGGCATTCTGGACATGGGGGACGGACTGTGGGAAGGTGTGAAGATGAGAAGAAGTCTTGTATGAGGAGGAAGAAGGTCACTGTGGTGGGACTGTGGAGTGAGTGGAAGGAGCCATGTGCAGAGCAGAGATTCTGCTTAGCACAGATAGAACGAGAACACACTTGCATGGGCCTGTAATCTTCTCTGCATACAATTGAATATCTTTGCTGGCATTTCTTTGGTGATCTCTTTTCATCACTGATAACAGTGAAACCATCACATCACAGACACTCTAACACATTAGGACCCAATTATTACATGAAAAAATGGAAAGGGAGAGGGAATGCAAGGAAATGAAGTCAGAAAAAAAAGAGCTAGACCCAACAAAATACGTACAGAGCAAATCCATTCTGGAGGTGACACTGGCTTAAAGGCTCTCATATATGACAGCTAGGTTTGCTTAACTCATTGTCAGCTAAATATCTTGGAGCCTAGCTTAGCCCATGATTCTTCTACTCTCAAGTCCAACCCTCTCCAGAGGTGTTAAGCAGCCAATAGAGGGGGAGGGTTGAAGATAAATGAAAGGAGGTAGAAGGGATAACCTACTGGAGAAAATGGGATGGAAGGGGATAGGATCATTTGTACATGTAGTTGGTTTGTTCTAGCAAGGAGAAGGGCCACCTGCTCACGTAAGACAGGCAGGACATAGTGGCAGAAGGGATTTGAGTGATGTGAGATGAGGAGAGAATAAAGGAGAGCAAGGGTAGGAGCAAAGATAGAAGATGGTGGGCATAACCCAAGGCTGAGGCTTAGAAGGGCAAGACCTTCAATAGGAAAAAAGAGGCAAGGTATTTGAGAGAAGAAAGCAATGTAGAGTTGAGCTGGTCAAGATGAGGCAGGGAAGAGAGCGTAGCTATTGCAAGGGGAGGATCTTGGAGAGAACTGAGGGGTCAAAGAATCGCTAGTCAATGTGAGGATAAAGAACACAGTTAGGAGTTACCAGGCAGAGAGAGAGGTAGAACAACAGGAGATGATGCTCAGAGAAGGGAGTTTCAGAGTTCATGACCACGGATCAAAGGTATGACCCTTATTATATGAAGCAGTAAGGTTGGGGAGAGGGAGGTGGGGAGGAACTCTAGAGAGAGCTCATTGGTCCATTGTATAATCCCAGGCTCAGTTTCAGCCAATCAGGTATCCTTCTGTTGACTGGAAGCCTTTCAATGTTTCACCCCTATTCCTAC